TGCTCCCCACTGGCAAGTGGACATCCCCCGAGGGCTGCTGGGCTGCCAGAGGGATGTCTGATTGCCATCTTAGGCCCAATCCCCCGGGGAGCAGGCCTAAGCCAGCAGGTGGTCATCCCCTGAGGGGTCCCAGACTGCGAGAGGGCACAGTCCAGGCTGAGGAACCTCTCCCCACTCCCCCAGTTCACAAATATTTGTGCACTGGGCCTCTAGTGTATTTAATATTTCAGTATCTCCCATTCAGTAACTCCAAAAATCTCAAAACACATTTCTCTCTCTCCCCTTCCCTTCCTCCCCTCTTCCACCCTCATTCTCATTCTCATTTTCTCTCTCTCTCTCTCTCTCTCTCTCTCTCACACACACACACACATACACACACACACACATACACACATACACACACACACACTTTCACTGATATTGTCATATGCTTTTAGAGTAGAAGGCAGACTTATTCAAAATAAGGTTCTCTCAGTAAAAATTCAAAAATCTTTTCATAATTCCAAAGTACCTTAGCCTATGTACTCTAAAGATAAAGTAGATGCTAATAAGAAACATACTTGTCTCAAAGTCTTCCCACAATTATATTTTTTCTTTAAATGTAAAAATAATTACAAAACAAAGTAAAACCAGAACCCTGAAAGATTGAGTCATTTGGGCTCTAGGATAATCAGAGCTCAAAATGAGACAATTATTCAATTCTGTTCTGGGACTGTGAAAGGATATGATAACATAATTCCAATTGATCGAAAATACAACTTACACTATCCAAGTAGTTTGCTAAACGAATCATCTCTTCTCTCACTGCAGTCTGATTTCTCCCCATCATGTCATACTGAAAAGCAAGAGAGGAAAATCATTAGCACCAAAGTAATTTCAGAAAAAAATTTCTATAATTGTTTACAATGGAGATAAAAATCCAAATATTTCCTCTGAACCAAAAACTAAAGTAGCTAAACATTCACCAGCATTTCAATTTAATAAATCTAAAAGATACATTTCAGTGATAAATAGGAATAAGAGGAAACAGGTATCAGTGTAAAATGAGTAATGAAAAATATTGAAGTCTTCATTTTCGTTAAATTAGTAAAACTTTAAAATGAATTTTCTTCTCAATATTTTAGTCAATTTAATGAAAAAATATTTTCAAGCACTTCACAAAAGTAGAATATGAAAACAATCAAAATAAATAGATAAAAGAATGAAAACATTCTAAAGAATTTCCTGACTCCTTAAGCTAAAGACATTACCAATAAACCATCTCTAAACTCTGGGCTAAATTAATGAGAGGCTAACCAATGTTCACTAGTTGAAACATTATTTGTAAATAAAATACAATAGAGTAAATATCGCCCAGTGTGGCTCAATGGTTGAGCATTGACCCATGAACCAGGAGATCATGGTTTGATTCCCAGTCTGGGTATATACCTGGGTTGCAGGCTCGGTCCCCAGTGAGGGGCATGCAGGAGAGAGCCAATCAATGATTCTCTCTCATCACTGATGTTTCTATCTCTCCCTCTCCCTTTCCCTCTCTGAAATCAAAAAAACATATTTTAAAAAAATAAATCTAAATAACTATTTTATCATTATTTTCATATAACCAACTTAATAAATAATGGGGGGAAAATTTAAGAATGCATGTTTTTGCTATATGATAAAGGCATTAATATCAGAATATATCAGATCTTATCAGTTAGATACTTTATCATGATTCTCCTAAAATAAGGAAAATAAATTTGAATACATTTGACAAAGTTTAGTTAAAATTGAATCATTTTTATTTTGAACCATTATCTACTAGTATATAACAAATCTATTTAAAGAAAGTAATAAAGAAAAACATCTCAAATCTTTACTTTGGTCACTTATCCAGAAAAACATTTTACCCATTAGTTGGGACAACATTCATGCTTGTTCATAGTCCCTATCCTTTTCCCTTCTACCACTTAAGGGTAATGAACTTATAATGAGCAAATCTGAATATGTGTGTCCTTTTCCCTTCTACCACTTAAGGGTAATGAATGAACTTATAATGAGCAAATCTGAATATGTGTCTGTCTCTTAATAAATATAATTTCTCTCCCAAACTACACACAATAATGGATTTTTCAAGCCATGCAATTCTTCAAACTATCTCTGCAGTTTATAAGAAAGAAATTGCCAATCATATAAAGTTTCTACAAACAACTTTTCCATACAAATAACAAAGCTAGCAGCAAAAGTCAGACAAAATATTTCAAATAACCTGTTAAATAATATGGCAGCTATATCTAAATCTGAAAATCCTATAAATGCTGGAATAGATCCAGTAGTTTTCTTAGTTAAGCACAATTCTTTCTTTGTATGAATATGGAAAATCCCTGGTATTATCCTGAACAGTAAAGTTAATAATAAAAGCTTAGATGAACCACGCTTCTCTATTCCTTTCTAACACATGCCAGGATCTGGAAGTTTCTATCTCTTAAAGTGAGGTATAGGATAGCTGAAATTCTAGATAAATTTATTAGGCAACAAAGCAATAACTGATTAACTGCTTACAGTCCTTTGCAGTGGTCGCCAACCAGTGGTCCATAGTGGTCCATGAGGTCTGAAAGGTTGGCGACCGCTACAAGTCATCTGAAAAGGTCTCAAGACTCTGACAGGCAGTACAGTTTCATTAAGAAATTCAGTATGAGTAAATCACCCAAGAGAACAGGAAAAAAAAATCACTAGTAGAGAATGAATTCAGAGGTAGTCCTATTTGCTATATTTAGCTTCTGGTAGTATTATGAATATTTAGTATCTTAAAGGGGGAAAGCCATTTTTTATTACATTTCAGAAAAATCAATACAAATATATTAAATTGTATATTTCTTTCATGTGATGCTCACTTCTCATCTGCTTTTCCTGAAAAAGAAGAAAAACTGTCACCAATCCTACCCTTTCCTTGTCTACAACAATGAACAGCTCCACATAGCGGGTTTGTGGCAGCACAGCTCTTCTTCTCTGTCAAAAACACAAAACATCATAAAGGTTAAAAAAATAAGTAATAAAGCTTGATGATTTCATAGGTATTGATCCTGCCCTAATCTCTAGTCAATTATTTCATGTCTGCTCAAAACATCATAGATTTATTTTACATAACACATCCTAAAAAAAAAAAAAGAGAGAGCAAATAACATGTGTTGTTGCTTTTTTAATGACATCTGCTACCTTTACTGGATCTAAAAAAAATTCTATTTAAAAATAATGTAAGTTATCCAAGTTTACAAGGAAGAATTATTGATTTTCTAACACAAAAACTACACACACACACACACACTTTAATGAGAAATCCCATTATTATGTTGAGAATAAAAGAATATCCACTAATAACCGAGCGCAGAAGTGAGTAGCCTTTTAAAAGTTGCCACTTTTTAAAAAAAATGCATGTAAACGATAGAATAAGCTGAAATTTTATTTTCCAATGGTTAAAATTAAAAAGAACAGCACAGTAGTCAAGAGTAAATGGTTGAAGAGGTGATAAAAATAATGCCATAAATTAGTATGAGTTAATGAAAATATACTAGAAGAAGCACATGCCTCTTCCAACACAGCACATCATTTCATAGATAAAGGTTGACTACTCCTAAAAACATTTCAATCTAAGAGACCCTTGTCAAGAGGAAGCCAGGGTATCATAATGAAGACTCAAAACAGGGAGACAAGTGCCCCTGAAGTCATCTAATATAATTAAGGTTCTAAAGCCCAACCTCTCTGTTTCTCCAACCTAGAGCTCAAGAATCACCATTCTAGTTTGTAACAAAGGTATCCAAACAAAAAATCCCACTGCTCTCTGAAAGACAGTGTAATAGATTACTATGCAGCACTGATAAAAAGAAATATAATTACTGTTTAAGATTTAAGTCCAAGTTCCTAAAGCATACAAGAGCTCTACTGTATTCAATCTGGAGGCAGAAACTGCATATTGCTCATATTGTTATCCCCTAGTAATTGTCATAATGTCTGGCACATAGTTGGCAAAATCCAGCAACAGTATTTTTTTAATGCATAAATATGATGTTTTAAAACTTTAGTCTGTGTCCATCAATAGCCAAATGGATAAAGATATGGTATGTACATACAATGGAATATTTCTCAGCCATAAAAATAATGAAATCTTGCCATTGCTACAACATGGATGGACCTAGAAGGCATTATGCTAATTAAAATAAGTCAAAGACAAACACTATATGATTTCACTTAGATGTGGAATCTAAAACACAAAATATATGAACAAACAATATGGAAACAAACTCATAGACACAAAGAACAAATGATGATTGCCAGATTGGGGGGGCGGGAGGGGTAGGGGAACTGGTGGAGATTGGGTGAAAAAGGTCAATGGGATTAAGAAATACAAAGTGCCCAGCCGGTGTGGCTCAGTCGTTGAGTATTGACCTATGAACCAGGAGGTCACAGTCTGGTTCCCCATCAGGGCATATTGCCAGGGTTTCGGGTTCAATCCTCAGTAGAGGTGTGCAGGAGGCACCCAATCAATGATTCTCTCTCATCATTGATGTTTCCATCTCTTTTCCTCTCCTTCCTCTCTAAAATCAATAAAAATGTATTTTTTTTAAAAAATTAGTACAAGTTGCCAGTTCTAAAAAATACAGCATAGAGAACATGTGAATAATATTATAGTAACTAAGTATGGTGCTAGATGGGGATTAGGTTTATCAGGGTGATCACTTTGTAAGGTATAAAAATGTCTAATCACTATGTTGTACACCTGAAACTAATATAATATGTCAACTATAATTGAAAATGTTTAAAAACTTAAAAAAATTTTCAAAACAATTATGCTTCATTTTTTTATACAATAAAAATAACTTTTTGTAGTAAGCTGCAAAACAAAACAAAAAACAAAAACTTTAGTCTGAGCCCTGAAGAAATATATGATTTCCTTACTCGAAGCAGCTGAGTGATGCTGGGAGGCTCTTCCTCTTCGTCCTGGGTTGTTTCTGCTTCTGTGTCCTTGTTCGAAACCCCACATTTCAGAGGCTCTTTGCGGATATCATCCATTCGATAAAAGATGTGCTCAAAATGAGAGCTGTTTTGCAGGGGTTCAATCCCATAACTCACGTTCTCTATATGCAGCAATCCTCTAAGTGTTGTGTTACACACATACACACACACACACAATTTTTCAAGAATGAAGAAAAAAATACACAGGAAAAAAATTAGAAAACCTGAATTCAAGTCCTAGTTCTTAACATGTGTCAGAAAGAGTAGCATGGTATACAGAGAACTGTAAGTCGTTAGAGTCAGGCTGACCTACATTTAAAGCTAAAGGCTGTGACTTAATAGCATCACTTCCCAAAAGTTACTTAACATCTCAGCATGATTACTCTATAATGGAAGGCAGTAAAGGACAGTTGCTAAATGTGTGGGGTCTGGAGCCAGAGAACCAGAGTTTGAATCCCAAATGTTTCCTACTAGCTGTGGGACTCTCCCAAGTTATTTAACCTCCTCCTTTCTTTACATTCTACATAGGGTTGTCCTGAAAACTAAATTATTTAATAAATGCAAAATACTGAGAACATTGCCTGGCACTCAGTAACTTCTATAAGGGTTATTACTTAAATGGCAATAATCATAGCCATCTCATATTGTTGGTTTGAAAAGTAAAAGTAATATTTATTAGTTCAATCATGCAACCAACCAACCAGTGATATCATACTGCCAGGCCCTCAGAAAATGTAATTTTAATGTTATTATCATTTCACTTGACATGTGATACAATTTCTCCAAACCTCAATTTGCTCACCTAAACGTGGAGATAAGGAGCCCCTTTTCACAGTCAGTATCAGACTTAAGCAACAAAATGTAAGTGAAAATTGCGTAAACAAAGTGCTACAGAGATTTAAGTATATTTTATTTTCAGTGGCAAAAATTATTTAGCAGTCTCAAAAATGAGATTTTTTTTAAATATAAAAATCCACCAATTGTAATATTTTCCTAAATAAACATACCAAGAATGATATCTGAAACATAGCTCTAAAGACCTTTGACAACATTAAAGTAAAGCCTAATTCTGTTAAGTCCCCCAAAATTTGAAAACAGAGATAGGTGTACAGGGGTAAGAAATAGAGGAGAAAGAATTAATAAATAAAATTCCTTACCTGAGTCCAAAACAGTCACTAAGAGCAATGGATGAATCATAAACTCCTTCCACATAGCCCCGATAATGACAATGGTCCTAAATGATAAATACTGTATTATCTTCAAATACTGTTACTTTGTGGGAAATCATTGTAGAAATTATAGAGCTAAAAAAATTATTTAAGGTCAGTAAACTAAAAATTTTATTTATATTATTGACATCTCATAATATCACATGGCATTCTTTCGACCAGGGGTGGGCAAACTTTTTGACTCAAGAGCCACAATGGGTTCTTAAACTGGACCGGAGGTCGGAACAAAAGCATGGATGGAGTGTTTGTGTGAACTAATACATGTTAACACTGCTGCTGGTGAAGGAGCGGAGGGGAGAGCAAGAGAACCCTCCACTCTTTCGGCTCCGCGGGCCGGATAGAACAGCCGAATGGGCCGGATCCGGCCCGCGCGCGGGCCGTAGTTTGCCCACGGCTGCTTTAGACTATTTCAGATTATCTACTACCACCCTACATGTATACATATGTTTAGGCAGAATTCTAAAGAAAATAAATATAAATAGCTCTATCCCAATAACCTTTAAGCCTAGAAGCAGAAAAAGATAGTATGTCATTTTTAACATCTTATCATTTTAAATCACAGTCAATCCAAGAAACTATAGCAGCCAATTGACATCTAATACAGAAGAGGACCTTGTGACAGGCTAATGATGTCAACGGAGGAAATAAAAGCTCAGTATGTAGCAAAAAGAAGAGATTTTGATCAAATTATTTTCTTTTCTTCCTGTAGATATATTGATATATTATTAGTTATACATTCAGCCATCTTTAAAAACTAACGACCCTTTATCCTTAATTTTGAGCAAGAAATTGACCAGTGAATATAAGCATAATATTACTTATTAATATTAGACTTTTAGTACACAGCATAAAACAATCACAAAGCATTAAAAAGAAAAAAAGACAAAGGTGTGGATAAGGGAGACTTAGCCCTAGCAGACATTGAGACATATCACAAGGCCTTAATAATTAAAACAGCATGCTACTGTTGATGCATTAATTGAGAGACCAACCAGTAGAACAGAATATAAAGTCTCAAAATAGTCCAAAATATATATATATAACTTTTATGATAAAAGTGGCACCTCAAATCACTGTGGCAAAGATGTACTTTTAACAAATGGTGCTCAATCCACTGGTTAGACCTTGAAAAGGGATAAAATTAGATCCATGCCTCATACCATATATAAGAGTAAACTCCAAACAGAATAAGAATCCAAACATAAAAAATGAAACCATACAAGAACTAAACGAAAACATAAATGAATTCCTCTTTAATCTGCGTGTAGAAAAAAGGTTTCTAACTATCACTCGAAACCTATATGCAATAAAAGACTGATAATTTTTATGATATAAAAAATTTTTTAATATTCTACATGGAAAGAAACATCAAAAAACAAAGTCAAAAGATAATTCACAGACTGGGAGAAAATATATCAGAGATAAAGAGTTAATATCCTTAACTTATTTTAAAGTACTCTTAAACAATTGAAGGGGAAAGATTAAAACCCAATGAAAGGGGGCGGCTGGGGAGAGATCAATAGGGGAAGAAGGAGACTTATATAATACTTTAAACAATAAAGAATTTAAATTTAAAAATAAAAATTAAAAACTGGCCAAAGACATGAACAGATCATTGGTAAAGGAGGATATAAAAATGCCCTTACATATATGAAAATATTTTCAATCTCACTAATGATAAAGAACTCATGAGTCTGTGCTGATATAAGGGAAAACTCTTCCTTACAGTAGAAAGCAATGATGAATATAGAAGCACTGATGAAATTAGAAAAATCACAATTTTAATAACTGTTATAATAATAACTGATTCAGGCAAATACTAAACACTAAAACTAGTGGGTAAAATTTTGAGACGGTACAGGATATCTGTATCGTCTCAAAGTATCAACCCTAATATTAATTAAAGAGGTACAAACAGTAACTTTACAGAGGAGAAACATGGCAGACAACTCCTTAACCAAATGATAAATGTTAACATTGTCAATAATGGGGCTAATAGCAGCATCTGCTCACTGATTAGATACACTGAGAACCACTCAGTATCTACTCGGTGGGATTCCTGACAGAAGTACATAATCTGAATCTGATCATGAGTTAACATCAAACAAACTCAAATGACAGGACATTCTACAAAAAGTCAGACTATACATGTTGGACAAGGAGAGATAAGTATTTTCAGATTAAAGGAAACTAAAGAAACATGACTACTGAATGCAACACATGAACTTGTGTTGTCTTTCATTATTGTGTAGCTATTGATATGAACAAGACTGACTCCATCTTTGTGACCTTGATTTCTTGTTTGTTTTTCATGCTGTGAACTCTGACTAACCTCACTAGTTTCAGCCAGTATACCAAAGCCTTATAGTTAATAATTATTTGTGTTCTTTAAAAATTTACTATATAACCATAGAAATTCTTGGGCCAGAATGGCATGGCAACAAAGATAAATATCAAACTAGGTGCTAGCATCAATTGTAAGCAAGCATCCATCATAAGCCCATCAGGAAGTATGGTTTCTGGCACATACTGCATTTGTTGTCTCTTTGTCTCATCAATCATTAGTTCTTTAGCTATACCATTTAAAACATTTACTGCAACAACTGTCTGGTAAGGGAGACTAGCTGCACAGACTGTGGGGTTATCTCCCCTTCTATTCTATCCCTGTAAGTAACCTACCCTAGAATAATTTGTTATATTATGGAGTTGCCTGCCTCATTTTTCGGTCTCAAGATACCTTCTTGTTTTGGTGGCCATATACCTTCATTCCATCATCAGACAACTATCAAGGACATTATTGGGATAGTAGCCCCCCCCCAAAAAAAAATAAAATAAAATTAGATTGCTTCAATGTTAACTTCCTAATTTTGAGAATTGCACTATGGTGACCAAAAAAATTCCTTGCTTTTAGGAAATTTACATTGGGGAAATTTAAGGATAAAGGTATACCATGTCTGCAACCTATTTTAAAAGGTTCAGGAAAGCCTGGCTGGTGTGGCTCAGTGTTTGAGTGATGACTCATTACCGAGAAGTTATGGTTTGATTTCCTGTCAGGGCACATGCCCAGGTTGTAGGCTGGATCCGCAATAGGGGAATGCAAGAGGCAGCCAATTAATGATTCTCCTCATTGATGTTTCTATCTCTCCCTCTTCCTTCCTCTCTCTGAAATCAATAAAAACATTTTTAAAAGGTTTAGGATAAAATAAAGAAGAAAGAAATGATCAAACAAATGTAGTAAAAAGTTAACATTTCAAGAATCCTGGTGAAGGTACGCATGAATGTTTTATATTACTCAGGCAAATTTTCCTGTAAGTCTGAAACTGAGAAACAATTTTAAACAGTTACACACTAAACAGCATTGTACAACTTGTTCTTGTGTGGGGCAATTTACAACCACTAATGTTTTTCTTCCTAGTGTTCTGTAGTTATAGCTGTGATATTGCCTTCTTCTCACTAGAGGAAGAAAATAGTTTTTTATTACAGCTGAGGTAACACTTATAAGATAGTAATACAGTAACTGATAGCACTTGGAAATTAAATGTTTCTACTTTCAACTACAATAATAAAAGCTCTCTTATTCGATATCCAGCATTTGGTCATTAAATCTACCAACCTAATAGTATTTTTTTAATAACTTGCTTTTATTTTTTTTTATTTTTTTTTAATATATTTTATTGATTTTTTATAGAGAGGAAGGGAGAGACATAGAGAGCCGGAAACATCGATGAGAGAGAAACATCGACCAGCTGCCTCCTGCACACCTCCCACTGGGGATGTGCCCGCAACCCAGGTACATGCCCTTGACCGGAATCGAACCCGGGACCCCCCAGTCCACAGGCCGACGCTCTATCCACTGAGCCAAACCGGTTTCGGCAACTTGCTTTTATTAAGTCTTTCCAAAGCGCCCAATTTACTTTTTAACAAAAACAATAAACCATATTTTGTATGTGTAGAAAACATTTCATTAAATAGCATAGTGACAGTAAAGGTACGATTAGCATAAACAGATCTGGAAACACACAAACTCTACTACTAAAAAACTCAAAAACTCAACTAAAAAACTCAACTACTGGGAACAGAAGTACACTGAACTATTAGAGAATAGCCTACTAGCCACAAGAATTTAGTAAGCCTTGGGCAGCCAATATATCTTTAGAGGACACAAAAAGTATCAATTAGTTGGGGGGATAAATTAAAAGGCTTTCCTAATGCATTTGCAAGGGACTCTAAAGTTCTAAGATATAGTAATTTGGAGTTTATTTCACACAGCAATCCATATAAAGTGGTTATAAAACTTTGTTTCTTTGTAAAAAATTGTCTTGTGGAAGACATGATGATGAAAGCCACATAATTAGCTTTACAAATTACTTTAATATTAAATAACAGAATCATAAGGGAAAGCATTTAAGTTTTCTCAGTGTAAATTAATTGCATTTTATGGACAAAAATATATGTCATTATGATATTTGCCAATCTAGCCATATGCAAAAAAAAAAAGTACTAAAGTATTAATTGGTGTCTGAAATCTACAGACACACTTTCATCTATCTAAATAATCTATATATACAAAAGCTTAAGTGACTGTTACAACCAGTCGCTATGATGAGCACTGACCACCAGGGGGCAGATGCTCAATGCAGGAGCTTCCCCCTGGTGGTCAGTGAGCTCCCACAGTGGAAGCACTGCTCAACCAGAAGCTGGGCTCATGGCTGGCGAGAGTAGCTGTGTTGGCGGAGCCTCTCCCGCCTCTGTGGCAGCATTGTGAAGTGGCGGCAACAGGGCTTGGCCTCCTCCCTGGCCGCCTGCCACTTCGTGTTCACTACTATATCCCTTGGGGGATGTCAGACTGACAGTTTCGCCTGCGGGGATCGGGTGAAACTGGCAGTCGACATCCTCTGAGGGGTCCTGGATTGCGAGCGGGCGCAGGCCAGGCTGAAGGACCTCACCAGTGCATGAATTCATGCACTGGGTCTCTAGTATTCAATAACCAGAAATAAATGAAAAACTCCATCTGTTTTAGTTTGTATTTTTCAAACACCCAGAAAAGCACTTTAAGATAACAATGTTACATAAATTTCTAACTGAAATCTATTTTTAGCAGTTTTAAGCATATATACTTTCAATAGCAACAAAGAATAATGATATTGAGTTAAAAATTGTCAAAAATGACTTGTTCTAAGAATCTCACAAATATTAACTCAGTTAAGCCTCCTAATAACTCTATGAAGTAATTATTATTCCCATTTTAAGGTGAGGATGCTGTGGCACAAAAATGTCAAAGTAACTTGATCAGCAAATAAATGATAGAGCCAAGATTTGAATCCAAAGAAATCTCTCCAAGAAAAAAAAAAAAGCCTTTTGAGATCACTACTTTTGTCAAATGGCGGTCTTTGTCAATTATGCAGTCTTTGGCCTCATGCCTTAGCAATCTTTGGATGGATGATTGGATACATTAATGGATGGATGAATGATTTCTAATCTGGTTTATGCTATCATGTAAACTTAAGCTCCTCTACTAATTTGCGACTAAACAATGATAAATGAAACACTAAGATAAAAGAATCAGAAAGGATAGGGCTGTCAGCATTTCCTTAATTTTTTAAAAGCACTAATTAATTCAAAATAATTTAATTAATTAAAGACTAATTACTCTAAAGGGTGCTGCAAAAATGCATAACTAACAAAAACAATTCAAGCTAGCAAGATGTTACAAAGCTCAGGGGGAAAATAATACATGTTTAATGGGAACAAAGACTTCTTGTGAAAACTATTGCAAAAGAAAAAAATATACAATACTTACCTGCCAAAAAGCATTGTAAAACACTCTCCTCAAATAAAACTAGAAATGTTTATGCTCTACTTAAGTAACACATAAAGCCAAATTGACATCTGCCAATTTTTTCAAGTATCCCTGGCCGGTTCTGTCCTTAGAAATACTCTGTTCTCTGATGCAAAAGGATCACACCTCTTTAGGAAAGAATTGTTTCAATGAATAACTAGAACATCTAACAACAGCAAACCAGTGTTTGTTCTTAACAGTAATGGAAAATCAAATGGTTTAATAAAAGAGTAAGATGTGCTTGGAGATGGTAAATTTCAGCAAAAAAAAAAATCTACTTTCAAACTGTATCAAACTTTCCCCTTTCATAATCAGTAAGAATTATCATCAATAGAATGTTATTCTTCTGATCTTTAAGAAACAAACAAAAAGCACTTGACTATGAGTACCTGGAGAGCAGTAAGGTCCAATTTACTCTAAATAAATGAGTCCACTACCCCACCACTTCCAGGACAACATGTATTATCGTGTCAATGGTGACCCTTGAAGTTATGAGACGTAACAGTCCTGAGTACCTAAACAGAAGTCCTTTTAAAATTATTATTGTTTGAAATTCTGCTATAGGATCAAGAATAAAATATATTACCTGTATATCAGGATGGTCAGAGATCAGAGCCCCTTCCTTGTTATAGGTATAAACTACAAAATCTTTGGGCAAAAGGTCTCTGGAAGAGGAATAAAAACACCATTTAAAATCATTTTATGTATTTGCAACTAAGAACACAACTCATCCGACATTATTTCTAGAAGAGATGATCAGGAATAAAAACTTCCACCTGATTATTATTTTATTTAAAGAAGGAGCTACCATAAAGCTAAGAGCTTACAAATGGACCTGCATCTGAAACCATGTGCACACTTCCTCATAGAGAATATTAAGCTGCATGTTTGTTCTAATGGTCATAAAACGCTGGTTACAAAGTAATAATAATAACACAAATGTCCTTAATTTTTTCTGATACACCTCACAGGAAAAGTGTAAATTAGGTTATACAGTACATCATATTTCTAGAAGGAAAATAAGTGTTTCTACTCTTTCCTAACAAACCGCGGTAAAACACTCATTGCCTTCACCTCCTTAGTAAAGAAGCAAAATGTGTCCGTTGTTGGAGGAAACAAGTATTTCTGATTCCTGAAGCTTCCCTGCATGTTAAGGGAGCTCAGTAGTGTAAACCACATGTGGAAAGAGAGGTTTCTCTTTGTCAAAGAAAAATAATCAGAGATGCTTGTTAAAGGTGATAAGGCAGACTTGTATTTGGGGTCACCGTGATGAGTATAGGGAGCACTGACAGGACATTTCAGTGGGCAAGCAGAAATTTATGGCTAAGGAGCTGGGTGGGGTCAGTAAAAAGAAAATTACTCAGAGAAAACATCAAAGGGTGAGGAAGGCTCTGGCTAACCTAGCCTAACAGATTCTTACTGAAGACTGAGCAGGTTGATCAGGTATCATGTGAAGGTGGTGGAGGATGAGGAACCTGTTCAGACATTCAGAGTGATCAGATAACAAAGGGGATGGGGGTCTTGCTAAACTGATTTAGCAGGTTTCTTGCTAAAACTGGATTTCACAAGAAAGTGCGCCAATGGGCCTAGGACAGTGGTCGGCAAACCGCGGCTCGCGAGCCATGTGCGGCTCTTTGGCCCCTTGAGTGTGGCTCTTCCACAAAATACCACGTGCGGGCGTGCACGTACAGTGGGATTGAAACTTCATGGCCCATGCGCAGAAGTCGGTTTTCGGAAAGGAGATAGACGAAACAAGTATACAAGACAAGTGTAGATGGGAAAGTTGGAAGGGGTCAATCTCAGCGAACGTACCTCAATCAGATGGAAGACGTTTTTAGCAAAGGCCAGCTTAGGAGTACCCTAATTAAGTGAATAACAATGTACCTACCTATCTAGTTTAAGTTTAAAAAATTTGGCTCTCAAAAGAAATTTCAATCGTTGTATTGTTGATATTTGGCTCTGTTGACTAATGAGCTTGCTGACCACTGGCCTAGGAGAAAGTTCAGGAGCATGACTAAAGTTTGGTCAAGAAAACACTGTCATTTGCAGCAGAATTGGAGCAGCTCTGTTATCAAGCCCTTCTTATCTCCAGGAATGCAAAGAGCTAGCTAGTGGTATAAAATGCACCATTCTAAACACCCCTGGAGGCATCCAGGGCCTGCTTATCTATGTTGTTTAGAGATGGTTTAGCCATAAGCCTGACCTGAGCTATGTGACCAGAGTAATATAAAAGGTCCTCGCTGTAAACTTGTGCCTGGGCTCCCCGGGAAATCTGATGCTTCACACATATGTCAGTGTTTTGTTCAACTAAGGAAGGAACCTGGGGGGCTCTGCCTGGAAATTTTTGAACCCCTTGATGATTACTTGCACTTCACTTTTCCTGATGTATTTCTCCTTTACATTTATGAAGTGTGTGAGCTTGGGAGTGGCCTGTGGAGTCCTGAGTCTTTTCAATTATCCAACCCTGTTCAGTCATTGCACGATCCCCTCTTCTCTTACTCTCCCCAACACACACACAGCCTTTGCTCCCTCTTGAGGTGAATTTGAAAACAATAAACTGAGATAATTGGCTTTGCTCTCCCCTTCTTCCTTGCCGGAGTCCATTCATTGTCTTTACTGGCTGAGTTTAGACAGAGACCCCAAAAGCTAGTAACCTTTTAAGTCCTAGCAACATTGGCTGAGTTTAGACAGAGACCCCCAAAAGCTAGTAACCTTTTAAGTCCTAGCAAAGGTCAGGACTGTGCACCACCCAGTTAATCTAGGTAATAATAGTTGAAGCATCACCCCCACCTTAGTTCACTTAATTCCTTAGATACTTGTGTAGATCCTTGTTTATTGTTGATCAGATACTCTGCCCATTCCTGGAAATCATCTACTGATGAGCTAATCAGATACTCTGTATATTCCTGGAAATTGTCTGCTGATCTGTGTGTCATTGAAACCTCCTTACCCTAAGGGCTACTCCAGATCAATAAAAGATTGGAGCAGCCTGAGCATCCGTGGAAGTCCTTCGGGACTTGCCCGCCTGGTCCCCCAATATTGCAAATCATTTCTCTCTCATTTGTTGTGCGGCTCCTCTTTCAGATACCGAACCCTACTCCACACAGAACGTGGAGGGAGTCTTACATGACACTTCCTCATGGAAGCCACTGCCTGCCCAGTGACAGCACAAATTTCATGATGCTTGTGCAGTAGAACGCTTCCGAAAGCTTCTCTGTCTGAAAATATCTGTCACTACCTAAAATTCTGTCAGGGAGACTCTGACTCTAACTAGAAAAGAAACCTATACACTATTAAAAAAAAAATTACTGAGCAAATGAATTTCTTACTTGTTCCTTTCCAAGTGGATAATATGCTCTTTTCCTTCAGCTTGAATGACATAAGATACCTAAAGGCACAAAGATGAAAAAAAGAACAATAAAACACCATCTTATAAATTACTTTTCAACAACAGGTATTTATAAGACACTGGAAACTTCATCCTCAATGAAAATAACTGACTTGAAATTGTTTTACAGAAAAACCTTACGTCTGCTCAAATAATAAAAAATAATCTGACCATCCCTGCCTTCCTTTAATAACTTACTGTGGAAAATTACCTGCACGTTTATCTAAAATCTTCTTAAATTCATTTAGAATTGAGCTATAACTTCAGGAATTATTTTTGTTAAATACATCCATGTATTATCTACAGTATAAAGTAGTTCTTCCTTTTGTTTAAATGACATAAATTTCTTAGATTTAAGCAACTATCCCTAGTTCTAGTTATCTGAAAGTTGAAAAGAAATACTGAACTCTTACAATTATATATCTTCACATGATTTACCACATTTCCTCTATTTTAAAACACATTTTCCCCCGCATATGAACATCTGTGAAGTCAGGATGCATCATACAAAGGCACAGAAATCTGACTGGTAGCACTCTGTTTCTTTCTTAATTAGTGGTACATTAAATGACAGAAGGCCTTACCATGGATGGCATCTCAGAGACAATGAACAGAGATAAGGTAACCTGCGCTTACACATCCTCAAGCTCATGGGATCCTCTTCACACCTCAAACAACCCTGAAACAACTTCCCCTGGCAACTCACCAGTTCATTAGCCAGAAGTGTTTAGTGTGATTGCCAGAACCAGGAGATTCAACTTTGCCTCAACTCTTTAACAAAAGAGAAAACCAGGGAAGGACTCAACAAACATAATATTATCAGAAGTGTCCTCTTATGTTCCCTACTGTCTGGACTCTAAGTTAACATCTTGCCAAGAAATGGCATGATTCCCTCTCCTAGGGTACATCAAAGTCTGACTTCCAGGCCCAGACTAAATTCCAGATCCTAGCATTCTACTTCCACATCCTGAGCGAAAACCTGAGAAGTCTCTGTGATCTACCTGGATCTCCGCTGAGAATCAAAAATATCAAGCTCCTTCCATCACCACAGTTTTGGGGTATGCCTTTCTTTCCTTTCTGCTCTTGGCCAGTCATCTGACATAAAAACGTCCCTCTCATCTCCACTGAGAAGAATTCTAAGAATCAGAATTGTTTCTTCCCCCAAATAGCTGGTCATTCCCTCCCATCGGGTCTTCACTCATGGGTCATCTTCTCCAGAAGGCTTCCCCAAACTGTACTACTAAAAAATATAAACCCTCCCACCCCACCCCTTATCCCTATTTCTACACTCCTTATTTTTCTTTCTGCTTTGAATTTTCTCCAGTGTACTTATTACCATTTTCAGTAATCTGTATTCTTAACTTCTATTATTTGTTTATTGTCCCTCCCTAAAATGGAAGCTCCATATGGGATTTGATTTTTGTCTGTTTTGTTCTCTGCCATGTCCCCAATGCCTAAACAATGCTTCCACGTCTCCAAATATTTTGGGAGGCACATAAATGACATTTATTATTATCACAAGCTACCTGTGCAGTACTAATATGGAGATTAAACTTACTTTTGAGTAAACATTCCCGATATGAAATATATGCATGTAACACACTACTATTCTCCAGTGCCCATGAAAACATAGTATGAAGTATTTTACGTCTCACAAACTAAGGGAGAGGTTACTTATTGTTATTTCAACAAGATCACTGCAACCATCATCAGTAGTTAAGGGTTAGAAATCTATGTAATCAGCTTCCTACTCTGGTCTAAAACTTTATTTAACTATTTCATTCTGTTATGTTTCAAGTTGACCATTTTGTCTTTAAAAGAAATTACCGAGGATCAATATGTCATTTTTACTAGAATAACATCCAATAAACATCAGTGCCATATGTATGGATCTGCACTAATCTTTGGCCAATATTTACTCACTGAACCAATCCTCCTGAAAATAACACCTTTGTCTTAAAAAAACAACATAAATACATACATATTTCTCAAGAGACAACCTACCTGTTTTGAGTAGGGCCTACGGGCTTCTCTTCGTTCTCTAGTTAATCTCCAAGGAGTTATAATTTCATAAGAAGAGAGATGTGAGGTCTGTTGAAAGCCTACAGAATAGGGAGTAACAAACATTATATAACAAGTGAACCTGAAAAACTACATGGTACTAAAATATAATAGAATTCAAATGCTGAATGTTCAAATTAGAAAACTCATTTGACATTTCCATATTAAAATATATACATACTAAAGGTCTTATGCACGAATTCATGCACAGGTGGGGTCCCTCGGCCTGGCCAGCAATCTAGGCCTATCGAGGGGCCAGCCAGACAGGAGGAGGGACCATGGGAGGTTGGTCAGCTAGGGGGAGGGGCCATGGGAGGTTGGCCGGTGGGGGGAGAAGAGCTACGGGAGATTGGCTGGCTGGCCCTCCAATTGGGGTACATGGAGGGGGGTCAGCTGGCTA